ATGCTGTGTTAATCCCTCAATAGAGTACATTGACCATGTGTTATGTAGTGGGGAAATCGCAAAAAATGTTTGGTCGTTTTTTGCATCCCACTTCAATCTCTCTCTTCCCAGCGTTACTACCTGGAAAGGAATGCTGATTTTATGGTGGAAAAACATGTCTAGCACTTCACAGGCAGGGGTTCTTGGAGGCATTGTACCACTTATTATTACATGGGAACTTTGGAAAACCAGGTGTAAAGCTAGAATGGAGGGTCACCCCATCTCATGGCAGAAAACAGTTTGGCAGATCCAATCTATGCTGTCACAGGTTGCTAGATTAATAACAAAGGTCAGCCGCATCTCGGACCGTGACGTTAAATGCTTGTGATCCCTGAACTGTCCCATTAATAACGTTAAACAGAGAAAGGCGAAATTGATCAGTTGGACAAAGCCGGAGGGTCACCAGCTGAAACTAAACATTGATGGTGCATCTAAAGGCAATCCAGGTGCCGCCGATGGTGGAGGAATTTTACGGGACAGCAAGGGAAGATGTTGGGCTGGTTTTTCTCACCACTACGGAACTTGCACTAATATGGTGCAGAAACTCGAGCCCTTCTTGATGGTTTACGTTTGTGCAGGGACCTCGGCCTTAGGGACATTATTGTTGAAACCGACTCCAATATTGTGGTACAATGGATCCACAAAGGCGCCTGCTCTTTATGGTGGCTGTGGGATTTTTGGGATGAAGTTTTGGAGCTGATCTGAGTACTTAAAGCCAAAGTCCAACACGTGTTCAGAGAGGCCAAGATGGCAGCCGATCTTCTTGCTAAAAATGGCAGCAGTGGTGTGTCTTCAGAATTATCTTTCGGGGACGAGGCATCAATGCTACTTAAAGGAATTTTACATACGGCCATATGTTAGATATTGATTGGTATGGATTTTTATGGCTTTTTGTAATCTTAGTTTCCCTCCGCTACAAGTGAGGTTTCATTATTAATAATTTTCGTTCAAAAAAAAAAAAAAATCCATAACACTTTAGCAAAAATTTTTGAAATAATAAGATGAAA